TTCTTGTACCATTATAGGCATCTCCTTTTTTTTTTTCCGAGACAGAGTTTCTCTGTATTTTTTTGGAGGCTTTCTTGGAACTCGCTCTGTAGACCATCCTGAAGGATGGCCTCGAACTCACAGAGATCTGCCTGTCTCTGTCTCCTGAGTGCTGGGATTAAAGGCGTGCACCACCAATGCCCGACAGGCATCTCCTTCTTTAGGTAAGGGAAATTTTCTTCTGTGACTTTGTTGAAAGTATTTTCTGTGACACTGGCCTGTGTTTCTTCTCCTTTCTATATTTCTATTATTCTTAGATTTGGTCTTTTCATAGTGTCATAGATTTTCTGGATATTTGTGCCATTTTTTTTTTTTAGATTTAGTATTTTCTTTGCCCAAGGTATCCACAATTTCTACTATGTCTTCTATGCCTCAGATTCTCTCTTCCATCTCTTGTATTCTGTGGGTGAGGCTTGCTTCTGAGGTTCCTGTTATAGTGCCTACATTTTTCATTTCCAGGTTTCCCTCAGCTTGAGTTTTCTTTATTGATTCTATTTTCATGCCTTGAACTATTTTATTCATTTCCTTCCACTGTTTGTGTTTTCACTGATTTCTTTAAGTGATTTATTCCTCTTTAAGGACCTCTATCATATTCATAAAGACTATTTTACAGTTTTTTTCTTGTGCTTCGGCTATGCTGGAATACTTAGGGCCTGCTGTGGTTAGGGTTGCTAGGCTCTAGAGGAGACATATTATCCTGCCTGTTTTATTCTCGTGTCTGGGCATCTGGGTTTGGGAAGATTCTTAATTCTTGGTGCTGATATCTGGTCTTGTCAATGTTGGACAGGTGTTTTGTTCCTGGGTTTCTAATGCCCTCTGGTTCTTAGGTGAGTGTGGTGGCTGTGAATTGCCTGGTAGGGAATTCTTCTGGGGTCGTGATAGGTGTGGCCACTGGGGATTCCAAGTAAAATGTATTCTGGGTATTGAGAGATGACACTTGGTAATGGGGATGGGCTGGGGAGGGGCTGAGGTGGTACACCGGAGGGAGGAAGGAGGATGTTCCACCATGGTCTACCCCTGGGAATGGGGCAGAGAGTGAGGAGAGGCACAGCTGAAGGTGAGAGGGAGGCCAGCCCCGAGGAATGGGGGAGAGAGAAGCTCTGCAGTCAGCCTGCCTGCTTACCTAGCAGAAGTCACATTCTACAAAATACGCTGTGATTTAATTTTCATTTGGTTCATGATATTTTATAATTTCCTTTGTGGTTTCTTCTTGATCTGTGGGTCATTTAATAACTTCCCAGAATCAGGGTCTTTTTAGTTAGCGATCTGTAACTAATGTAGTTTAATTCTATTACAGACAGGAACACACTACAATTTCAATATCCTGAATCAAGAATGTCACTGTGAACCTCCCTATTGGTCTTCTTTAACTGCCATGTCTGCTGATGCCTTTGCAGTTACAAAATACAGCTGCTTCCTTTCAGAGAGAAAGAGGAGGGCAGGGAGGAAGAGAGAGGGAGAGTGGAGAGGAAGGAAAGAGGGAGAACAGGGAGAAAGAGGGGGGAGAGTGGGGAGGGAGAGAGGAAGATGGGAAGGAAGAGAGGGGGAGTTCAGGGAGGGAGAGGCAGTATAAAATTCTAAGTAGACAGGTTTTCTTTCAACTAGTTACAAATGTTGCATACCCCTTGTTTGTAGGTTTTGCTCATTTTCCTCTTTCCTGGATCAATTTGCTACTTATTGCTCTATATTATCTTGTTCCTGTTTTTGTTTCAAAAGTCTATGATGTTCCATAGACTGATTTAAAGCACCACATGTTTATACAGTAGCTATCTTCCTTGTAGTTTTCTTCTCTTTGTGATAGATCCCAATTCCCAAGGCTATCATCTCCCTTTTGGCCAGAGGGAGAACATTAAACTTCCTTTAATGTTTCTCGAAGTGTGGATCTGCCGCTGCTGCTGCTGAATTTCCTCATCTTTGAATGTTTCAAAAGTCATTACCTCATCTTACTTGAAAGACACCTTCACTGCGGATACTGAAATTACGTTTCTTTCAATAATTTAAATGAGACATTTGCCCCAGTATCTTCATCTGCCTGGTTTTTGATAGCAAATCTTCTGCCAACCTTACCTTTGATTCTCTGTAATAATCCATCCTTTTGTTCTAGCCGTTCTTGTTTTCTCTTTAGTGCTGATTAAGAGCATGATTTTGTTTTTGTTTTTGTTTTTGTTTTTTCGAGGCAGGGTTTCTCTGTAGCTTTGGAGGCTGTCTTGGAACTCACAGAGATTCGCCTGCCTTTACCTCCCAAGTTCTGGGATTAAAGGCATGCGCCACCAACGCCCAGCTAAGAGCATGATTATGATATATTTGCACAGTTTCTTCCTCTTTTTTTAAAGATTTTTAAAAAACATTTATTTTATTTTCAATTATGTGTCTCTGTGTAGATAGAGGTATATAAGTACAGATACATGCAAAACCTAGTAAAGAGCACTGAATCTCTAGAGCTGGAGTTACAAGTTAGAAGTAGATGGAGGGCCGGGCGGTGGTGGCGCACGCCTTTAATCCCAGCACTCCGGAGGCAGAGGCAGGCGGATCTCTGTGAGTTCGAGGCCAGGCTGGACCAACAGCCTCAAAAACAATACAAAGAAACCCTGTCTCATAAAAACCAAAAAAAAAAAAAAAAAGTAGATGGAGGATGTCCTTCTGTATGCTGTGAATATGCATTTCTCTTATTGGTTGATGGATAAACTGTTTCGGCCAATGGACAAGCAGGATGTAGCCAGGCAGGATGTATAGGCAGACTATGAGATTAGGAGAAAACTGGGTAGAGGAATGGAGAGAGTAAGTCTCAAGGAGCCACCATGTAGCTGTTGAGGAAGAAAGAGAAGGCTAGCCAATAAGAAGTCTGAGCCATAGGTCAAACAGTTTATAATTAATATAAGCCTCTGTGTGTTTATTTGGGACTAAACAGCTATGGGACTGGGCAAGACGGAAACTTCTGTCCATAATAAGTGAGTTATGGAATATGTGTGCTGGGAATTGAACTCAGGTCCTTTGGAAGTGCAGTGCCTGCTCTTAACCACTGAGCAATCTCTCCAGGACCCTCTTGCTTTGTTTTTGAAACAGTCTTATAATGTAGCTCATCCTTGCTTCTGAGGTGCTAGATTTGGGATTAGAAGTGAGTGCCACTCTTTTAAGGGATATATTTGCTAGTTTTTTGCATGTTTGATAATTTTTCATTAAATGCCAGACACTGAATTTTGCTATGTTCTAGATTTTTAAATAATATAAATTTGTTTATGTGTATAGGTGTTTTGTCTGCATGTATGTCTGTGCACCAAATGCATGCAGTGCCTGTGGAAGCAAAAAGAGGGTGTTGGATCCTCTGTAGCTGGAGTCATAGATAGTTGTTGTCGTGTAGGTGCTGGGAACAGGAACCCAGGTCCCTTGCAAGAACAGCAGACACCGTTAACTGGCAAGCGGTCCTCCAGCCCTGGCAATGTTTCTCTAACAAGAACCTACTTAGTTGATCTTAATTTGCCCAAAGCCCTTAGTGCCTATATTTTGGATGTTTCCCTGAAAAGATTGTTAATATGTGACTCTGTTAGCAGCCTGCTATTTACCGAGAATCAAGCCATTCAACCAACCAATTGCTCTCTGGTGTGTGTGTGTGTGTGTGTGTGTGTGTGTGTGTACGTACGTACATACAAGAGATTGTGAATGTATGTGGAGGCCATAGGTAGACATCAGGTATCTTCCTTAGTTATCTCTCCATCTTACTTTTTGAGCACTGATTCCAGCTGGAATGGCTGGCCAGCAAGCCGTTCTGAGCACCTACCACCCATCTTTTTCCTTGTGGATGCTGGGGATCTCAACTCGGCTCCTCTTGCTTTCATTGCAAGCACTTACCCAAAGAGCTATCCTCCAGCCCCCTGACCTAGAACTTTTTTTAGGATCCTGAAGATTCCTCCTCTAGCTGAAGGTCCTCAGTCGTCCACCTGGCTCTTCCCTCCTTGACTTTAACCAGTTTTGCCCTCAGAAGGAAACCTGCTCGCTGGTCGGTTCCATTACTCTTTTTTGTTCTGCCCTTACCCCCAGGATGCTTCCCAGTCTTCACAGAAAAGCCTCTCACACTACTTAACACACCATGCTGCCAGAAAGAGAAAGCCAGGTTTTCTATTTCAGCTTTTATTGATTCCCTAAGTTCATCACCCAAACTGAAATCTTACATGCCTTCAGGCGTCAACTAATGGCCTCCATCTGTGAGACCTTTAAATCTAAGCTTCCAGCTCACAATTTCCAACATTTGAAACCTCACAATCCCAGCTGCTTAATGGATATGTCCTTCTGGACCCTGGCCCTGGCTTAGAGTCACTGTACCCATATCCCATACTAGTCACAGATCTCAAACACTTCAAGTTGGGAGAGTTCTTAAGAGCTCATTTTATAAAGGGGAGACTGGAGACCAAGGATACTAACTGACTATTTTCTTTAAAACTTCCAGTTAGTATTTTTAAATACCACTTTTAATGTTCCTTTCTGAAAACCAAAACCAAAACCAAAAACCAACTCTAATGAATTCTGACCCCCGATACTTAGAGCTCTTACCATCAGATCCTGCAGCATGGAAAACCAAGAAACTTCAGTGACCTCCCCGAGTTTACAAACCCTGAGCTTGGCACTCAAGCCATCAATGCCTGGTTTTGGGTCCAGCCATACTGTAGGAAATGGCTCTGCCCTCTACATTTTGCTCTTCCTCACATCATTCGCTCTACTGGTCTCCTGTTTTCCAGTTCTACTAACTCCTACCTCTTCCTGGAAATACGGCACAATTTATTCCTACTTATACTTTAACAAGTGCACATTCATTAAACACTTTCTAAATTCTACTTGGTCCTTTGGATAATTTTCTTTGCACTTCTTGTTCCTTCATGGGTGTTCCCCACGGCACTTAGTAGGGTGCCTGGCACCTGGAAGCTCAGTGAAGTCAGCCAAAAGAATTAGCAAACTCACGCGTCCCTTACCTTGGTGATGTCCGTGTGGTCTTTGAGCCCGTTGGTCATGCACCAGTAGCGCCACACATTTAGGGCGTACCTCGTGGCTTTGGTGGTGTTTGGGCTCACTGCACTGGTACACAGATCATTCAAGTCATCATTAATATTAAATACAGGAAATTTGTTCAGTTTAGTAGAATAAGCTAGAAACAAAAACAACAGAAACATTACAATAATTTGCCATTCCCTTCTTAGTGAGCTTCATTCTGGGATGATATTAAAAAAAAAAAAACAAACTCCAAAAAGACATCTAAGAAGTGAAATTTCTAGCCAGATGTGGTGGGGCACACCTCTAATCCCAGCACTATGAGCTCAAGGCCAGCCTGGTCTACACAGTGAGTTCTAAGACAACCAGAGCTACACAGTGAGACGCTGTCTAAAAAAACTGTTTACACGTACCAGAACCCATGCCTTGTATCTAACCCTGATCATTTTGCCATGTGCACAGTGAGACACACTGGCAAACATTTCAAAAATAGGGTGGAATTAACACTAGAAAATTGTAAAATTTTCACTAGAAAATATAGCATTTCTACTACCAGTAGAAAAAAAAAAAAAACGAGAAGGAAGGAAGTAGTTAAGGAAGATTTTTTTTTAAAAGATGGGAGGGAGGAAGGTTACTCATCTTCAGACTTGTCATCTCTGTTAATGTAGCTTCAAATTACTTGTGTGCTGTCAGGAGCAGGCTTGATTTATATGGGGTTATATTACTCTTTTTTGTTTGTTTGTTTTTTTAAGAGACAGGGTTTTTCTGTATTGTTTTGGAGGCTGTCGGACCAGCCCAGCTTCGAACTCACAGAGATCCGCCTGCCTCTGTCTCCGGAGTGCTGGGATTAAAGGCGTGCGCCACCACTGCCCAGCTGGGGTTATATTCCTCTTAACTCATTCCTGGAAGTAATGATGTGCACACACTCATTCCCCACACCCATGCACATGTGGGAGGGTTGGATTGATTTAAGCCTTGATTATACAAACCATCAACTAGTTTCAAATCAGAATGGAAACTTAAATGAAAGCAATATTAGGGAAAAGGAGGGATACTCAGGGAAGACACACCTTTTCAAGAAAGGGAAAACAGTTTAAATTGCCAAACAAAACAAAACAAAAAAACACCAAACCCATAACCATTAGCTGGCCTTTCCTTACACTCTGGAGTCTGGTAAAACCAAGCATCCTCTGAGGAATGTATATTCAAATAAACTGGCTAGGTCTCAGACAGCAAAATGATAAGCAAATACAGTCTGTGAGTTTGTTTCACATCACCTAATCCATCTTGGATTTCATGGTGCCCACTGAGGATCTCCTCTGTACCTGGGTCCTGGGAACCCAGAATCCTCCGCCACCCAGAACCACCCTCCACCCACAACAGAGCTGAGAAATGCCTTTGAGTTAACAGACATATTTAAAAATTATTTGTGTGTATGGGTGTTTTTGTCTGCATGTGTGTCTTTGTACCATGTGTGTACCTGGTGCCCATGAAGGCCAGAAGAAGACACTGGATTCCCTAAGACTGGAGTTACAGGTGGCTGTGACTTGCCACATGGGTGCCAGGAATCGAACCTGGATCCTCAGTAGCCAGTGATCTTGATCACTGAACCATCTCTCAAGCCCCTCAATACACTTGTCAATTTCAACCTTACTTCTGGAGACACTTTGTGCACATTAGAACCCCCCTTTTCCATGTTTCACATCTGCCATTATTCCTTAGGTGTGTGCTCTGATGGTGTTGGTTTCTATGCTCCTTAAAAAAAGGTGACATCACTTTTAACAACTTGATTACGGAAGGCACAAACTGCTTTACAAGGACAGGTACTGAGAGGGAGGTGCAACCCTGAGCACATGCTGTCTTACTTAGTCCTCTCGCCTCTTCTACACAGCTACCTAACCAGTATCTGCAGGACGTCCTTGACAGTAATAAGAAGATCTGTGTAAAATTTATTGTCGTACCTATTGTGGAATAGGCAAAGAATGTTACCTTTGTTTATGCTGTGGAATATTACTTTAATTGTGTGAAGGCATGCCACATTTGTGCTGCCTTCGTTAACAATGTAAAGGTGTGCTGCCTTTGTTTTTGCTGCCTTTGTTTGATCATGTAAAGGTGTGCAGCTTTTTGATTGGTCTCATCTGAACAGCCAGTAGCTAGAAGGAGACAGGGTAGGTGGGACTGGCAGGAAGAGAGAATAGATAGGAGGAGGAATCCAGAGAGGAGGAAGAACGAGAGGAGGAAGGGAAGAAGGAATGAGGGAGATGCCTGGGGCCAGAAGACTGGAGAAGCAGTGAGGATAAGATATACAGAAGGAAGAAAAGTTAAAAAGCCGAGGCAAAAGGCAGATAAAGAGAAACGAGTTAAAAGAGCTAGACAGAAAGGAGCCTAAGTTAGGGCAAGCATTCATAACTAATAAGAAGTCTCTGTGTCATAACTTGGGAGCTGGTTGGTGGCCTAAAAGAAAAAAAGCCTGCTATACATACCTAACGTCAGTGGACACCTAGTATGTGCCAATTTTAAAACCTGTTTAATCAGTAAACAAGTACATGATTGTTTTACAGATAAGGAAATAGCACCAAACATCTCAGTAGCTTCATACACTCATTAGATATTTACCAAGGGACCTTCACTGTGCAAGAAATGTACTGCTGAAGCCATGAGCTAGCAACTGGTAGATAGATCCAGGCTCCAGACATGAGTTTAATGGCATGCCCTGGCCACAATAGCAAAGGTCTCAAGTATTGTAGGGACACAATCTCAGTGAGAACTGTTTGGATAGCCCCTTATGCATATTAAACATATCCTGGGTCCCTAAACTTCCTTGAGTTAACTTCTGGTCAGGACAACAGCCACAGCTGGGTGCTAGGAACTAAACCTGGGTCCCCTGAAAGAGCAGCCTGTGGTCTGAAAACACTGAGCCTTCTCTCCAGCCCTATGGGGGGGTATTTAAGAGAACTTCAGCCTCGCTACTGCTGGTTCAACTCCACTAGTATATGTGGCCCTGTGTTCAATATTGCTCGCAGAAGTGGGTTCTGTCCAAAGGTATCAAGTGGGAACCCTCAGCAACACTGGATTCTTACCAGCGACTAATAACCTAGACTTAAGTTTTAAAATGTGAGCACCCAAATATAACTGATGTTTGCCAAGCTACAGACACTCAGCAATAATCCCACATTCCTACTAATCCCCCAAGGACAGTGAATTCACAATACAGAAAACACAAAACAAGACACCACAGATGTAGCAGTGGGTAGCAGAGAACATAGGGCATCCTTACACTGAAATGAGCCTTCACCATGAAAGAAGAAATGGAAATATATTCAATACTATACACAGACATATAAGCACCTATCAGCACATATGATAAGTGCTATCCTCTTTCTGAGGACAGACAGAATTCGTGGCATGAGCAGGTGTTTTAAACCGCTGGACGATGACAGTACAGCATGCCCCAGATCTAGGATGTGGTTATTCTGTGCCACAGAAAATGCTAGCATCAGTTATATAGATCTGAAAAGAAACCCTATCAATTATACCAGGAAACTGTGAAAGTGAACATGGAATATTCTAAGATAAGTTGGAAGAAGAAACAAAACAGCAATCAGTGAAATAGCAAATCTATAATAAAAAGGAAATACTAAGATGAACTTGAAAAGAAGATTTTAAATACTAGCAAGGGAAGGGGGTACAGATTATCACACCAGGGATGAAAATAAGCACTAGAGTTTACAAAGAGTGTCTAGTTAGAGTTTCTATTGTTGTGAAGAAACACCACGACTAAAAAGCAAGTTGGGAAGGAAAGGGTTTATTAGGCTTACACTTCAGCATTGCTGTTCATCACTGAAGGAAGTCAGGACAGAAACTCAAACAGGACAGGAACTGATGCAGAGGCCATGGAGGGTGCTGCTGTTCACCCTGCTCTCTTATAGCACCCAGGACCACCACCACTCACCATGGGCTTTCCCCATTGATCACTAATTGAGAAAATGCCTTACAGTTGAATCTCATGGAGGCGTTTCCTCAACTGAGGCTCCTTCCTCTCTAGTGAATCTAGCTTGTGCCAAGTTGACACATAGAACCAGCCAGTACAGAGTGAGAAGAAAATATCATAACCAACCTGAGGCCAGTAGACTTGAAACTTGAATAAAAATCACAAATGCCACAAAGTCACAACTTACCAAAACATACTAAAAATTTATAAAGTTAAAACAGTTTTACATAGTTTACTGAAATTGGACCTATAGTAAAATATCCAGAAAGCAATCTTCAGGTTCACATGGATTTTACTAGCAAATTATTCTAACTTTAGGGAACAAGTTGACATACTTCCTTTTTGTTTTTTAAGACAGAGTCTCACTGTAAAGCTCTGGCTGTTCTGAAACTCACATATCCGCCTGCTTCTACCTTCCAAGTGCTATGTCTAAGGTGTGTACCACACCTGAGCAATTTTTGTAAGATTTATTTTTATTTTTAATTATGTGTACGTGCGTGGTATGTGCAGAGTCAGCAGACACCAGAAGAGGGCATCACATCCTCCAGAACTGGGGTCTCAGGAGATTGTGAATTACCTGGAGTAGGTGCTAGGAACCAAATTCAGGCCCTCAGCAAGAGCAGAAAGTTCTTAGCCACTGAGGCAGCTCTGCAGTCCACCTATAATACAACTCTTTATAAGACAGTATAATATTCTCAGAAAACAAAGAAACCTACAGACCAACTCAGCTACTAAACAGACACAAAAATCTTGAAAATAACAAGGACTGGAGAGACAGCTCAGCAGTTAAGAAGACTTACTCTTGCAGAGGGCCCAGGGTTCAATTCCTAGTACCCACATGTAGCTCACAACCATATGGAACTCTAGTCCCAAAACATCTGACATACTCTTCTGACCTCCCTGGGAACCAAGGATACACATGATACACACTCATAATCAAAAAATAAAAAGTCTAAGAAAAATTTAAAAGTAAAAAAAAAAGATGTGATTTTAAAACCCAATATTAAAAACAAACAACCAACAACAAAATGAGGAAACTGAATTCCTATCTCACACCATAAACAAGAATAAGAACACAATCCCAAATGAACCACACTGTAACCTTACAGTGAGCTCAAGGCCATCCTGGTACATGAGGCCTTGTCTCAAAAGTCAAACACAACAAA